TACATGAATTTTGCACACAATGCAAGGGAAAAGAAGGGCAAAGTCTAACATTGCTGTAGGCAGTTAAGATAGATGTTTTGTAAAGAGCAGTAATTAAATATATGCTTATAAATTAAATCCTTGTGTTCCAACTGTAAATAATTCATTTTGATTCTCTAGTTATTTCCCTTCTTACACTTTATGTCTCCTTTTTTATTGTATATAATGAAATCTTTTGAACAGCAAAGGCCAAACTGTTAGGTGCTTCTGTCCTCACTGCAGTCCTGGAACCTTTTGCCAATGAGACACCTGAAGGTCAAAGTGTTACATAATTTGCTTAAGGTCATAGAGTGACTAAAAGCCTATCTGCCAGACTCCAGAGCTTAACAGTCTTTCCATTTTGTCCTCTTGTCTCTCAAATTACTAATAGGTATGAAGACAACAAAATAGTAGTACCTCCCTCATAGAGTTTTTATGAGTAAACTAATCCAGGTAGATAATCCACATAAATAACTTAGCATGGTAAGCACTGAACAAATTTTGGTTACTTTTATTGTCATTTATACTACCACTTACTCCTGCCTACTCTTTGCAGATGCTGTGTTAAGCATTTTAAGTGCATTATGTTTTCAGCAGCGCTGCAAAGCCGGTAGGTGATAGATCCCCACTTGCACAATGGACGCAGCCTCACAGGGGTTAAAGACCTTGCCTTCACCTATTTTTTACTGTGTAGTAGGAACTCAAGTCCATCTGGCTCCGAAGCCTGTTTGCTTAATCCTGGTATGGATCCCTTCAATTCCCTTCCTATTGTTTTATATGGTGATATGACAGTGGGATGGATGCCAGTGATGGCGAGGTCAGTGTAGCTCTTGGTGTTATCTGCTGAGGAAGCCCCACACCCGGGACAGAACCCAAGGGGTCCAGTCCACCCCTAACTACTCTCTTTCATGGATTAAGGAAAAATGGTGGCTTGATGTTTATGGATCTAGTAATTCCACTTATAGGAAGCATGAAATTAGGGATGCTTGGAAGAGTTACCAAAGTTGTATTTTTATAATTATGTTCTCCAGTATCTTCCAGAAGGCTTATTGTACTCCTAATTTTTATCTGAGTTGGAAGTAATTTTTAAAGTTGGACAGTGTTAAGAGGAGACTTAGGGCACAGAATGAATCTGCCCTTTTTGTGTTGATTTGGAAAGTGTAAAATGAGAAGATTATTCCAACCACATCTTAGAGCTCCATAAATCCATTGCTTAGGGTTTACATGAGCTCATGCTCCCATCATTCAACAGAGTCATTTGTACAGTGATTCTTCTTGACAGCCTGAAGAAAACCTCATTTGATTATCTTGAAATCATCTTTTCTAAATGAAATAGGATTGGAATAACCAACAAAACAGAAAATAGCTTAGATTCTCAACAGAATCCCAACTCGAACTTTTGGCACCGAGGCAAACCCTTGGCCTTGCTATAAGGTGGCCAGAAAATCAAATTGCATGTGTTTAAGTTTCATCGTTAAATGAACAACAGCAATTTGGAGGATGATTTTTCAGACTCCTTAATGAACATTTGTACCTCCTCTTCTGACTTGGCCTCATTTACAGAAGTGCCCTTGCACCTTGAAAAAACATGTAGTCATAACGATGGTAGTCCTGTACCTGTCACTTTACATTTCGCAGTGTGCTGTCTTGTACATTATTGTTTTTGATCCTGAGAGCAGTCTGATAGAATTCTTGAGGAGCCTATACTGGACTCACAATGAGCTGGCTTTTAGGACTGTAGCTGTCACTCAGAGTGAAAATCCTCATCATGTTCAAATAACGTTTCCTTTGGAGAAAATAGCCAGTGAGTAGAGGGAGATCCTCCCTCAAGTGTTCCCATGTTTCTTCCTGCTGTGTCCCATATAAATATTGTTCTAGAAGCAATTTTGCATGGATCTGTCTAAATTCACAGTTCTTCCTCACACACTTCTTTGTTCTCCAACATTTAATATAGTTCTTAGGATGGGCCAGGGATTTAGCTCAGTGGTTCTGCCACCTGCCTTATAAGCGCAAGGTCCTGAGTTCGATCCCTGGTACCAAAAAATATATATATATATATAAATATATATATATATTTCTTAGGAAAGAATCAATACTGCCATTTTTATTGACCACTGAAATTAAAATGTATGTATACTATCTTTTCTTCCATTGTCGGGAAAGAATCTCATTCTTAGTAACACGTTAGATAAGAGAGACAAAATCTGAAAGGCAGAGATAAAGAGAATGAGGGGAGAATTGGAGAAATAAGCCTTTCTCTAACTCTGAATTCATTTTCAAATGCTCTTAACTAGGGGTTGCTGAAGCTGCTTTATCTGAGGCCAGAAGCATCAGGATGCCAAGAAACATTTTCTGAAAATCATACTTGTGAGTTTGGGGGCACTGGCTTCTCTATGACAATTGGCTGGAGAGAACAAGCTGAAGGAATGGCCACTGCAGCCCCACATTCCACTCTGGTCCCTCTGTTGCTTAGCCGTGTGGCAAGTCAGGAAATCTCTCATTGTTGAGCAATCATCCTATTCAAGGTCCATAGTTGACCTGTAGCTTCAAGATGCGTCAGGTGAGGCACCTAGCACAGTGGCTGGCAGGTGAAAGCATACGTATCTAGAAGGCATTTTAAAATGTTGATGATAATGGTGCACAGTTAGGATGTTGCCTGCAAATGGCCATGGCTCGGCATGGTTTGGAGAACAAAGGTGAGATGGTGCAGAAAGGCTTCTTAGAGGTTGTGGTCCTTGAGCTCAACAACCACAACTTATCCCGTTTCTTTCAGTGTAAACTCAAAAATAGACTGAAGACATGAAGCTCTGTTAAAATGATTAGGGTTCTAGCTGTTCCGGAAGCTGGGATGTCTTGTTGCTTTGTCTTTAAGTCTCCTTTTCTCCCCCCACCCACTCCAGTTGATCTCAGCTATGTGTAGTAATTCTGTTTATTTTATTGCAAATTTTCAGTCCTCTTAGGAAGATATGATAATGCTGCCTCCAGACAGCTGTGTTTGGGAACAAAACTGACTTAACCAGCTGGCTGGCATCATTGGAGCCCAAGGACTTGCCAAGCCAGGGAGAGCAGCTGTTTGGGCTGAAACTCTTATAATTCTTATGACTTTGCTTTCTATATAACAGCTTTTGAGTTTGCTTTTATATGCACACACAAAGGCTGTGGAACCATGAGAAAGCAATTTTAGGTGTCTAGGGCCACCATAGGTGAAGGGCAGGGGACAGCCACCACCTTCCTCTTGTGACTCATAACTATTGGAAAGAAAAGCTCCAGAAGGAGGCTAACTTTACAGAGTAAGAGATGATAACCACTAAATCAATAAGTTTTGGTATTTCAGTACAGTGAGGACATTATGTAACTAATAATCATGCTTAAAAGTTTTTAAATGAAGAATAAAATACTGCAATGTAGTATTAAAGTGTGTAGGTCACACAGTGGTATAAATAATATAATTCCCAGTTTGGAAAAGTGTGTTTAGCATTAAATGAAAATTCATACAAAGCACTTAACACAGTGCCTGGTGTATGTAGCAGATACATAGCAAATCATAGTTACTGGAATGCAAACTCCCTAACCATAGGAACATATTTGTCTCATTAATTCACTGTTACACCCAGAGTGCCTAGTGCAAAGTAGATGTTCCAAAGAATTTTGCCAATTGGTGGAATGAGTCTTATTATTATATACACTTAAAAATGAATCCGGAAAGAACCCTGTATTATCATCTGTATTTATATCTATAATTGTAGCAACTTTGTCTCTTTGTGTTCATGGTTGGTCATTATAAAGTACTGAGGATATTAGCTGTTGTGCAGGATTGCTGAGGGCTGAGTGAGCTACCTGCAGTGCACAGAGTGCAGTGACAAGTACCTCAGGAGCTGGTAGTGGGGAGTGGCTAGTGTACTCATGACAAGCACCATACAAGTGTTGGCTGTTATAACTAGTAAATTCTGTAGAAAAAAATGGAAAAGTTATCATGATTTTTGACTATAATTTTCCTCTCATTTTTTAACCATGAACTTAAATGATAGTAATAGCCCAAAAGAAAAAAGTCATAAAGAAATAAAACTCAAATTCTGATCATGATGATTTCTAAATAGTAGAATTGGGAGAGTTTTTCTGTCTTCTTGAGACTTTTGTACATTTTCCAAACTGCAATAGATAAATAGGCATTTTTTTAACCCGGTGGGGAGCAACCTCCCCCAGTACACACATTACTACCTCCCCGACCCCCTCACCAGTCTTCAAACAAGGAAATGGAACTGAGCCTCAGAGATAGAGCAGAGAAGCTGCACTGGAAAGGATGCACCCTCTGAGGCCAGGGAATTACAAAAGACACGGTACCCTGCTCTGGGTCCTTCTTGGGATGTTAAATACATGCTTCACAGTCTTAAGAAAGTTGACAAACAGTTGTTGAGAACTGGGAAATAGAGCCAATAAAGAAAGAGCCAGATATGGTGGTGTATGCATATAATCCCAGCACTCTGAGAGGCTGAGGCAGGAGGCTTGCAAGTTTGAGCCCCACCTGGGCAACATAACAATGTAGTGAGACCCTGGCTCAAGATTTTAAAAGGCCTGGGAAGGGGAAGGAATGAAAGGAAGAGGGGGAGGGAGAGAGGGAGGGAAGGAGGGAGGGGAGTAGGAAGGTCAGTTTTGATTGATTGGTTCTGGAGAAAAGTGGTCAAAAAACTTCTAAGAACTCTTAATGGACAGTGGTTTATCCTTCTATCAATTTCTTTCCATTTCTCCTGGAGAGAACAAAAAAGAGATCCATGAAAATTACGGTAGGTGTTAAAAAGGGAAGTGAATGGTAACCAGACTGTGGGGTCTAATGAGAGTTCCTAGAACTGTTTACAGGGAGGCCCTGAGCACATGCCCTGGCCTTTTCTAATCTTTTCCTGCTGATTCTAAGTCACCAGTACGCTTTCACTTGTACCAATCCAGGCCTAATTCACTATGACCTTTCCATGAAACTTTATTTGCAGATATTTAACACTGTGCCTGATGTGCCGCTCACCAATGCCCAGCTGCACCTGTTGCGGAAGAAGAGCAGTGACTCCAAGCCCCCATCCTGCAGCGAGAGGCCCCTGACGCTCTTCCACGCCATGCAGTCCACAGAGAAACGTGAGTCCTTGCTATTGAGGGCCAGTGTGGTGCTCAGGGCCATCGGGGCCACCTCCCACTGCTTGTGGGGCACTCCTCTGGCCTCTGTGTGCTGTCAGCCTTTTGTGTTCTTGTGGACTGTTTCACTGTGCCCTTTCAGTTCCATTGCTCAGTGACCCTGATTGGGCAAGAAGCAGCATTGCTGTGAATGAAAGCAGGGCCTGCCATGGAGTACTCTCTCTCCAGATCTGTGGGCAAACACCTGAACCTCTATTCCCCAGTTACACAGTAAGAGGTCAGCTTCTGCATCACTTTTGTGGACTCTCTTTTGTTGGCAGCTCCCATAGAACCAGTTTCCTCTCCTTTTCTCAGTTTGTAATTGAGTGCTCATTAGAGGGAATCATGTCCTACTAGAATGTGTCTCTGTGATACTGGGACCTTGTTGTGCTTGCCCCGTTACTCCACCTCTCTGTCTAGTGTGAAACTGGCACTTAAAAATATTTGAAATTAATTAGTGAACTAATTAGAGAATAATTCCTCCTTGTTCCAAATAGCAGAGTGTTATCACCACAAATATCTCAAATAATTTTTATTTCCATGAAGTTCCTTGCAGTAATCACATACTGGGCCTAAAATATACAGTCTTGTTTCAACTTTTATAATAAGAGTCTTGTGTAATGTGGCAGTGGAAATCTTGAGCTGTGCCCAAAAGCCTCAGTTTGCTTATCTATAAAATAGGCATAATAATGCCCACCTCATAGGGGAGTTGTGAGGATAAAATGAAATTATGCATTTCAACATCTGATACAAGGCCCAGAACATGGCAAGGCCAAAAACTAAGAGCCCCTGCTACCATTAGTAGTTATTCTTTGATCACACACAGATACCACGGCCGGTTTGTAGATGCTGCTGATGTTTATGTGATGCCTGCTGGGGCTGGGCATACAAAAGCAAGGTCTTGTGTCTCAGGAGCTCAAGGCTAAGTGAGGGAAGTAGACCAGTGAATACACTGTGGTTAAGTCACCACAATAACTGCTCTCATAGAGAAATGTACATTAGGTGAGGTAGAAGAACGACCTGGTTGAATGGCAGTGTTGCTCTAGGCTGCCCAGGTGGGAATTCTGCCTGTGCTGTTCACCAGCTATATGTGATTTGGGAGGTCATGTAACATCTCAGGGCCCTTGATTCCTCTGGAAAATGGGAAGAATGTTTTTCCAGGATTTCTCAGTTCTTTGTGGTGATCAGGTGCTGGGCCCTAAAATATGTAGTCTTATTTCAGCTTTTCTAATAAAGAGACTTGTGTAGTGTAATGCAGTGCAGTGCAGTGCACTGTATTCCTCTGGAAGTCATAGGGCTGTTGTGATGATTGAAATGCTTCAGATGGTGCCAGGTGGAGAGTTGGTACTTGGTAAATGCTGGATGGTGGTATAGTCATCATCATTATCACTACTACTACTAAGACTACTGATCTCCGTGAGATACAGCAAAGGCACAGAAAGGATAGTGACCCACTTCGACTTGAGGAAAAGAGGCTCCATATCTGGAATGGCATCTTTCTCCCTTTTTCTCACAAAAATGTTTATGATACCCTTGTATTTTAAAAACAGTGGGCTGGGTGTGGTGGCTCACACCTGTGATCCCAGCAGGGAGACTGAGGCAGAAGGATCACCGTAAGTTCGAGGCCAGCCTGGGCCACATAGCGAGACCCTGTCATCAATCAGTACATACATACATACATACATACATGCTTTTTCTTTTTTTTTTTAATTAAATTCTTTTATTGGTACATTGTAGGTATACAACACAATTACGTTTCTCATTGGGAATTGTACCTTTACGTGATGCATCTTGGTTCTTATTTTTTCCCCATTCCTAGCCCTCCCTTCACTCCCTCCACCCTTCCCTATTTACAAAGACTTTATTTCCATTTTTTCCATTTCTCATCATTTTTCCTTTCCCTTCTTTCCTTTCCC